GAGAGAGGGAGAGAGGGAGAGAGGGAGAGAGGGAGAGAGGGAGAGAGAGAGAGAGACAGAGACAGAGAGGAGAGAGAGAGAGAGAGAGGGGAGAGAGAGAGAGAGCGAGACAGAGAGAAGGAGAGAGAGAGGGGGGGAGAGAGAGAGAGCAGTTTTAAGGCAGAGTGGCCAGAGTGTCAAATGCCGTGGAGATGAGAAGGCAGAGTGAGAAGGCCTTTGGAAGAAGCTCTGCTGAAAACAGCTATGACAGAAGCTAGATGGAAGTGAGAATGGGAGGGATGGAAGTGAAGGCTGGGGAAGATGGGTGGGGAGTGGACAAGGTCGGGAGCAGTTCAGCCTGTTTGTCGCATAATAGGAGATTGACTGTTTGTAGAAGACAGACAAAAGAAAGAAAACTGAAGGCCCCACAAAGAGAGACTGATGGTGGGCGGGAGCCAGAGAACCAGGGGAAGGGTTCACTTGAACCAAAAAGGCCTGGAGAGAAGGGGCTGGTATTCTATGAGTGTAAAATGAGGGGAGAAGGAAATTGAGGGAATCCCCAATAAGTGTGAGGCTTTGGCCAGGGCAACAGGGAGTGTTGAAGAGAAGGAAATTTTCAGACAGTCCCACAGAATAAGAGGTCTTCGGTCTGTGCCGGTGCAGGGACTCAGAGAAGGCATTTCCTGAGAGTGAAGGGCTTGTAATAGAGTGTTCTCCCATTTGCCGCTAGCGCTGAGAGCTGTGCATACGCCAGTAGGAGCCGAAATAGTCCAAAGAGATCCAACCTGTTCTCTGCAGGGCTGAACCCCAGGGCCTTGCACCTGTGCTCAGCTGCTGACCATACCCCCTAGAGAAGGGTTCTGGTTTTCTGTTTGTTTGTTTTGAGATGATCTTACTATGTAGCCCTGGCTGACCTAGAACTTATCACACAGGCCAGGTCACTGATAGCTGCCTGTTTCTGCCTCCTGAATGCTGGGATTGGAGTGTACACCACCTCCCTTGACCAAGAAGGGTATTCTACAGATGAATAAAAACCAGTGTTTAGGGCTGAAGAGATGGCTCAGCAGTTAAGAAGAGTGTGTACTGCTCTTGCAGAGGGCCCAAGTTTAGTTCCAACCTCTCCTGATTTCCACAGACTCAGGGGTGCAAGCATGCGAACACACACACACACACACACACAGGGTGGGGGGGCTGGGAAGTGTTCAAAGAGACAGAGTCACCTGACTGCCCTTCAGCTGAACACCAAAGCTGCGATCTGAATACAGGTCTACTGGCTTTACCCCAATTCCTATTCCTTCTTCCTCCTCTTTCAATGACCATATGAGAGACTTGACTCTCAGGGTTTCCTGAAGCTTGCTAGTAGTCACCTGGGGTCAGCTGCTTAGGCAGGGCCGTCCCAGCCTGCATTAGGATGTAGCGTTAATTCCCTCCTGTAGACAGTGCTTCTGTGGGGCCCTGTGTCCCTGCCCCTAAGGGGATGTATCCCCAGCAATGAAGCAACAGTTTCACGTTCTGTTGTCAGTCCTGGCAGCTTGCTTTGCCACAGCCCATGTGACAGCTTTTACAATGCCAGTCATCCTGCTCCCACAGCCACAACAAACCCTTTGTTACGGCTCAAAACCAAAGCTCTGAAAACAGGGTGAATCGCTGAGGGTGAAGATCTGAGCAGAGATGAGCCAGGCAAGGCTCTAGATCCAGGAGGGCTGGACCTGACCAGGCACTACCTGACCGGAAGGGACACCTGTCTGTCTAGGTAACAAGCACCCTATGGGTCTCTCTGGGATGGAGGTGATAGTCCAGGAAATGGGGCTCCAAATAAGGCCGAGCTGCTTGGTCATCAGAGTGGCTATGTACATGGTCTTCTTAATCTACTTAATGTCTCCAAGCCCCAGCGAGCGAGCTCGTCTGTAAAGTGGTACCCACCCTCCTGTTTGAGAAGTCGGTGAAAGCTTGCCAGGAAAATGCTTAGCACTGATCCATTATGCAACAGACATCAGTAACTGTTCTCTGAGTACAGGGGTAATGGGTGGGTTGGGACCTGACGAGGGAGAGGCAACCGAAAAGGCTGCAGAAGGTGGTGAGGCTGGTGGGGGAGAGGGCTTCGTTTTCCTCTTCTTGGAAAGGAAGCCACGCCATAGCTTAGAGATAATGCAGCCGGCAGCTGGCCCTAAGTAGGGAGACACGAGGCTGGTGGAATGAAGCCCAGTTTAAAAAGCCCTAAGTGCGGGAGAGCTCTGCAGGAGAGAGAGCTCAACAAAAAACCCAACCTGGGAATCCAGCAGCCAGGCAGCTGGTGAGTGAATGTCAGACCCACCCAGGACTACCATAATTCATGGTGTAGGAGGCTACTCTGGGCCCGGTTGTTTGGAAATCAAAGCCCTGAAAGGGCAAACTCAAGGACAGCTGGGGTTCAGGGTGTGGGCTCCCCATCCCCAGAAGCAGAACTTCTTTAGAACTTGGCTTTGGAGGGAAAGCTCCTATGTGGCCGAGGAAGTTTCTTCCAATTCCTTTCTCCCAAAGAGGCTTGCTGAGGCACTGAGATGTGGAAAGCAAAATGACAGCAGACCCTTGGAAAGTTACAGAGGAGAGAGAGGAGGGCTGCCACAGCAGTGCACAGGAGGGAGAAGGACACGGGTGGGTGCGGGTACCAGAAGGCTTGGATTTAAATCCGAGTGCCCTGCCACTCACCATGAGCTATTTTGAGCAACTAAATCACTGAATGCCATTTCTGAGTCCTCTGCAGCATGGAGGAAGTGATAATATCCACCACTCAGGGATGTGGTTAGGGACAAATGAGATGGACGCCACTGTTAGAGTGTGCAGGGTATGATGGAAGAGACGCCCAAGAAATCTGCTTGGGCCAGCAGGAATGCCTGGCTGCGACGGCTCTGGAAACGGGCTTTGAAGGCCGACTGTGCAGGCAAAGGGTAACAAAGGCAAAGGCAGAGAGTAGGTCGACTCCAGGCCGAGTGGAGAACCCGGAAGCAGTCCCTTCTCTACCTATGTGAGTCTGGCCCCTCCCACTTTCCCACACTCACAGGCATGGGGAAAGAAAGAGAGAGACTACACTGGACACAACTGCCAGAGGACAGGGAGGGCTAGGAGGAAGCCTTTATGGAAAGAAAGCTCTTTTGATTGTTTGTTTTGTTGTTGTTTTGTTTTTTTTCAAGACAGGCTTTCTCTGTGTAGCCCTGGCTGTCCTGGAACTCACTCTGTAGACCAGGCTGGCCTCAAACTCAGAGATCCAGCTGCCTCTGCCACCCAAGTGCTGGGATTAAAGGCACACCAACACCAGGCTGGAAAAGAAAGCTTTGGAAGGAGCCTCCAAATTTAAAAATCTGTGATCAGGAGGAAAGTTCAGATGGAGGAGACAACCCGCATGACGCTGTGAAGAAGTGATGCCAATTCCGGGATAAGACGCAGATGAGGAAGTGGATGGATGGGCTGGATGGTGGGTATGGATCTTGAATACCAGGCTAAAGTATAGGCAAAGGAAAGCCACTAAATATTGCACAGCGGTGTGTATGGTCATGGTCGACTTCACAAAGATAAAGACTGGGCCACAGAAAGACAAATATCTAATATCTGAGGTTCTAATATCTAGTACCCAGGTTCCAAATGAAATGTTCAGTTGGTGAACACCCCCAAGCCCAAGAAGAGATGACAGTACAAAGAGAGGTGTGAAACTAAAAAGACAGGGAAACCCAAGAATGACCCTGTGGAAGCCCCTAGTTCTTCCGTTTGACCCTGGCTCCTCCCTCTCTTAAGAGCTTCTTCTGCCCTAGAAGATACTGATGTAGCATTCAGAGTACCCGGAATCCAGCAACCTGGAGGACTGAGCATCCCAGGGTTGGGAGCTATGGCTTTACACACAACTCAGTT